TATTTTGCAAATATGAGTATACTAAATTTAATATAATATAAAAAGTTATTATATAGTTAACTATAAAAAAAAATTAAATTTTACTTTCAAAAAACAATAAATTTTAAACAATAAATAAAAAATATTTAACTTATTATATTTGCATTATATAATAAATAGATATACTAGGTCTAACAATCTGTATTTATTTTTCAAGTAGCTATATAGCTACAATAAGTAGTTATACAATTATAACAGCTTATATATTGGTATTAAATATATTTTCTTCTATTTCATAAAACTGCAAAATCACTATTAAAACTAGTAAAATTATATTTAAAATTATCCAAATTTTGATTTTTCTTTTAGTTTAATTGGCAATTAATATATTAGTATAGAATTCAAGAATTGATTTTGTTAATTGCTTATGAAAATTAACATGCTTTGTATCTTGTCTTTTCAGAACAAATTAACAATATATGAAGAAGCTATTAGCTTCTGCTACAGAATAATGTATGTTATTATAAATTATAACAATTGTGACAGATTAAAATAAAATCAGATTAAAATGAAATTTTCTATTTTTTAGAAAAATTTTAAATTTTTTAGAAGTTATTTTTTAGAGTTTTTTTTTAGTATTAGTATTAGAGCTTAGGGTTAGGGTTATTAATAAATAAGTATATATAGGTTTTATAAGCTTTAAAGATGAGCAAGAGAGATTCTTAGTTTTATTTTAATCTGATTTTATTTTATTTTGTAACAATAATTAATTATATCTATTGCCAATTTATATTTACAAAACTCATCAAATATAATAAGCTAATAAAATATTATATTGCTAAAATCCTTAATATATTATTTTATTTCTGACTCAAGAACTGTTATAAAACAACTAGCAAGAAAAATAATATTTTTGTGATTACAAATATTGTTTAACTAACAAAAGATTTATATTTATTCTTAAAAGTATTTGTGATATCATGAGAAAATTTTTAGGCCAATAATAGTGTTTTTTTATTTGTAAAATAGAATAAAGACCATGGCTATACAAAGTAATATATGTATTTGTACTACCAAACCACAAATTTGCAATAATTGTTTTACTACTATAAAACTATAGTTTTACTAATCTTAATACTAATGCAACAGTTGGTAGGTATTGGTTTAAAATTTTTTTTATACTATATTCCGAGGCTCTATTAGATTTAACTTTAAAAACAAATTAAACTATATATTTGTAATGGCTTTAAATTCACAACTAATTAGATATAGCTTTTTGATATTTTTTGTTAAAATAAACTTCTATTTAACTTATCTATCTATTAATATATTAATTTATTTATACAAAGGTATAATCTAGATAAAATAGCTTGTATAGTACTTGGCAAAATTAAACAAAAACTTGATTAGCGAGTTTTTGAATCTATTAATTTACAGTATTGTATATTAAATACAGATTTTGTTTTTAATATATAATATAAATTTAACAGAGATTCAATCTTACTTTAGACTTCATAGTAACTAATATGAAGTTTAAAGTCAGATTAGAGTAAATATAGATTTTATAATTGAAACACAATATTATAAATCAATAAATTCAAAAACTCAATAATTGAGTTTTTTTTAAGTACTAAGTTTGCATAAAATTTTCATTAAATACATTGTGAAACTGCTATACAAAATAAAAGAGTTATTGTTTTCTAATATATTTATTAATATCAAGTACTTGATAATATTTCAAAACTGTTAGTGTATTATGTATTAACTAAAAGTCAATAAAACTCTATTTGTTTTTTGTTTAGTTAACTAATAATCACAAATATTTGCATATTTTACATATATTATAATTGTTAGTATAGCAATAAATCTTATAATTCTATTTAGATTAAGTTAATCTATCTTGTTTTATATTTATATACATGTCTATTTGTTGATGAAATTACTATTAATATAATAAATCAACAAGCAAAAAATACTTAAAAACTGTTTAGATATTGCATTAAAGACATCAACAATATATACAACTAATGTATTAGAATAAGAGTGGAATACTTAACAAGGATTAATTATAGCAATTTCATCAATTCATCATATGTTATTTCTGTTACTAATATTTATTGCTTTTTTACCCTTACTTTGACTACTCTTACTATTACTACTACTTGCCTTTTCTAATTCATTATTTATATATTAATTAGTACTCATACTTCTCAAAAAAGAATTTACAAACTTTACATATTTTACTAAAGCTTTCAATTCTTTTTTTAGTTGTAAGTTAAGAGAAATTATCTAATGATTTTTGCCTAATACTACTTGTAAAACAGTTGCTAAAAGTTGTTTAGTTTTTTATAATTCCTTTAAAAGTGAATATACAATACTTTTGTTAACAACAGAGCTCAAACAGAAACTTTAACATCTTTTTTGATATTCAGAGAAATTTATTTTATTATTAATATTAAAAAAAAAGATAAAAAAAAGCTTAATAGTCTTATAAGAAAAAAATTTTCATACATCTATATATGAGGGTACTAGTAAAAACTAAACAAATTATTTCTAAGTAAATTTTTTTTAACTTTGAAATAAAATATCTCAACAACTATTAAACCAAACTTAATAATTTTTTTATTTTAATTCTATGTAGTTATAAAATTAAAATAAAAAATTTTTTATCAAGTTTGCTTTATTAGTTGTTGAGATATTTTAATTTAAAATTTTAAAAAAAACTTATTAAAAACAATTTGCTTGATTTCTACTAGCACCTCCTCATATTTATAATACTCACTAGTATCTATATATAGTTTTTTTTTATAGCTAGTGTATTAGGCACTCAAGAGCATCTAATTCATAATAACAAAGAAATTAATACCCAAAAATAATCAAGATTTTTTGAAATTATTTAATGCCAACAACTAGTTTTAATTTATTTAAACAATTGCTTTTTTATATTTTAGTAATTCATTGATTCATAATAAATACAAATTAGATATATAATGCTAACTTACTTACTATTTTAGCCTTTTTTATATAGATAGATTTATTTAATATAATCATTGTCTTGATGATCTGATATAATACTTTATAATAGATGTATAATTTTGATTTATATGAAACTCCAATAAGCCTATAGTATTTACTGTAAAAGCTTCTTGACATAAGTAACTTGTTAATTTTAAGCTAAGTATCTTTTTGTAATTGATAAAAATTTTAGTTTATTTACTATCATAATTTAGTACAAAGTACTAAATTTAGTACAGGTAAATCCAATCCATTAATTTATTAGTTTAGTGTTAGAGTAGAGTTAGATTAAGATTAGAATAGTGTGTTTTAGCAAAAGATTTTAACCCAAATTTTGAAAGAAAATTTTTTTGTTAGAATACAAAAATTGGTTTTATAAGCAAAATTTTAAGCTACAAGTGATTTTTTAGAAACATTGCTATTTTTTTCAATTTTATATTATATGATATTATGATATGATTAGTTGATTAGATAGATATGTTACAGCACAGGTGTGTTAAATTATATAACTCTTATTAAAATTAATCAGTAAATTAAAAGTTGATTATTTTTTCTTTTTTGATTATTTTTTTTTTATTATTTGTTTTTATCTTTTTCCATTTTCTTTCCCTCTTGAAGAAGGAAAAATGTTAAAAAAAAGACAATCTTGACAAACTAGCAATAAGCTTTTAGTAATTTAATGGATAATCATCTAGCAAGTTAGATGCTAGAGATAAGAGTATATATTGCTACAATAGATCATATCTGGGCACTCTTGTAAGCGGCTGGGTAAGTCTTTATTGAAAAATAGTAGAGTTGAAGGCTTTTAGTTATTGCAGGCTATTTGATCAGACACTTTTGTATCTTTGAATACGTACTGCTAGCCAATAAAGGCAGGATTGCTAAAGTTAAAAAAAAAAATTAAAAGTTGATTATTATCAAAGATTTAAAATTTTAATAGTAATTAAATATATATGAGTGTTACCAAAAGAAAACCCGACAATTTATATATAGTCTATATTTAAATTGCCGGGTTTTCTTTTGGCGACACTCATATAAGAATTTGCTAAATATTGAATGCAATGAGAAAATTTTACGGATGGCTAAATATTTATGAAAAAAAGTATGTTATTTTTGAATACTTGTTTTCTATAATTTGTATTATATAATACCAATAATTGTTTTCTTTAAAATAGTAAATATAAGCTATATAATATGTGTTATACATATGTCAAATAAATTATTTATTTACTTTTCAGAAATTTCTTATACTATTCTAAATGATATTACTTGCCCTAAATTAAATGTTCATTATATTTCAACATTACAAATAATGCTTAATTACAGATAGAATTATGCAATTCTACTCGAGCAAACTGAATTATCGTTATCAGTTATAAGAACTTTTATTACCATACTACAAATTTTCATTGGTAAAAGTGTAATACGAATTTTATTGGATAGATTTATAGATGCTCGTAGATTCTCTTAATATAGGTGAATAAAAGTATAAAGAAACCACAACGAACAACCTTAACCTTTGCAAGTATAAAGTTTTTATAAACCTTGGCCCGGTAACACTTATTTTTTTCTTTAAAAGCATTAGCAATAATAGCAAACACTTGCATTTTTTTCACTATTATGTGAAGAGATAAATAACCGTCATAAATTCATTACGGATAAGAAATTAAATAAGTAGCAGCTTGTCTTAAATATTTCAAATAATAAATGAATATTATATTATTGACTAAGGGTTCTCAAGCGCCTCACCCGAAGGGTCGGAGGTAAAATTTTAATTAGTCGGAAAATTAGCTGAAGCAGCATTTTGTCTCGATCACGGGTAGATGATTTATCGTATTATTTTGACGCATTGTAGTAATTTATTGTATGATTTATTGTATGATTTCGTATGTGATTTTATGACGTAATGACATAGATTTGAGATTAGTATATAGTATTTAAGGGGAATGCTTTTTTCAAAAAAGGTAATTTCTGTTTTTCTACTAACCTGACTTTGTCCTTCGTACATGATCTCGCGGTGGCATAGCAGGGATGGTAAATGACCAGGCCATTTGCCTATTTTGCAAATGACCTGAAATCGAGTAATTTAAAATGACTCGTGAGCAAAGTCATTTGGGTTTGGATCATTATACATATGATGCGACATATATTTAAATAAATAATAAATTTGAAATAAATAAGTAAATTAAATAAATTGAAAAAAATAAACCAAAAACAATCAAAAAAAATAAATTTCAACAGTTCGGCAGTTAAACTCACACGTACGCACGCGCATATGTATGTACTAGGGCAGCATGAGACAAGCCGGGAATGGGTACTATGTTTTAATAGTACGCGTGCTAGCACTTGCAGAGCTCTAGTACATACCTGATACATACGTGCATGTGTACGTACCATTCGTACATACCTGATACCTATTCCAAACCATGTTTGAGTTAGTTTATTAATTGGGTATACGTGTAATTTTTTTTTAAAAAAAAAATAAACATCCGATAATAAGCTACTCTTATTATCGAGCAAAATTTTTTAAACCCGAAAATAAGCTACTCTTCATTTTTTGTATTCAAAATTGCTTTAGAAATATATACGGTATATTTTTCAAATGACTCAATAGGTCATTTCGCTCTTTTAAATGACCAGTCATTGGTCATTATTCACTTGAGCCACGAGGTCATTTCAGGTCATTTACCATCCCTGCTGGCATAGAGGTTTTAAATTATGGCCTGTCGTGACGACTGTCATTGGTTTTAGCTGATTTTTACGTATCTTATGGTCTGTCGGGCGATAGTCATGATTTGGATTTTAAAATAGAAATGGTCTATCGGGACGATATTCACGGAGAAGTTTTCTTTTTATTAATGTATATAGAATTGGTCTGTCGGGACTACGGCACAGACGTGTGGCACGGCTAAGAAATTTTGCATGCCAGATGGCCACGTGATAGATATATTCAATTTTGATTGGTCAGTTATCATGTGTTGTTTTACCTTTCGGAGCATTCTTCCAACTCACAATTCACTTTTCTACTCGGAATATTCAGAATATATATATGGCATGCCTATAGACTAGAGATGGGCAAATCGCAGTTTTTTCAAAATCCCGCGCGGGATGAGATCACAAATTCGTGGGTTTCTTAATTTTTTATTTCCAATAAAAAACGTGCAAAGATTATTATTGAAAATCAAATTTATTGTTCTACCGTAAATTGGCATGGCCATTGTTTCGAATTTCAGCCCAAATAAAGCTTAATTCGATATTTCGAGAATTTACGATCAAAATGTTAATGCAGGCCAGATACGATATTAATGCCAGTCAGGTGGTATGGTAATGCCGGCCAGATAATTTTATCTGGGATCATATTAAAAATCCTGCGCATCACGCGCGTGCCCATCTCTACTATAGACTATTTGGGTTTTGGGCATACCATGTTGGTATGCCTTTGACCTCCGTGCCACTCACCCTACCTGTCGGGATGACAGTCATGGTGAAAATTTTGTACCTATTTGTGTACAGAGCACTCGTATAGTTGGACTGACATGTGTTTTTTCCAGATAGAATTGTCCGATTTTTTCGTCCGTAGACAATAGCATTAGAAGATTATTAGGTTTTAGGCCAGTCGATCGATACTTTCAAATTCTGCACTGTAGTACGTATTGCACGAAAGCGGAAGGAACAGAATATTTTTTATTTGTAAAACCCTCGATGAAATGAATAAATTAGCAGAGTTACCATTTCGATGAATGTTTTTTTCTTCAAAATTTATCATTGGCATAGGTCTCTCAAGCATTACTTTTACATTTTTTACATATCAAACATAAACAATGAATTCTCAGTAAATTTCTACCCGATCCAAAAGTTTACAATTTTATTTTAACGCCAAAAAACAAATAATCGATATTTGATTCGAATGTAACAAATACAACTCATCTTTTAAGGTTTACCAAACTATATTGAATATTGCCATTCTGTTTTTCACTCATTTAAATTTAAAAGCTTCTCACCAAGCAGAAGGGTTTTAGGTATTGTATAAGCGCGTAATAACGTGTATCTGCGCGATTTTGAGATCCCGCGCGTTATTTCGGAACGTCCATGCGCGATAATTCGAATCTTTATCCTAATTTGAAGAAAAATTTACAACTACTAAAAACTCTTCTGAATAAAGGTGCTGATGAAATAGTTTCACCACTATTGGTGTAACTGGTGTTTAATTGGTGAAATTGGTGAAACTAATTTCACCAGCATCTCTACTCCTGAGACTATGTACGGGACGCGTTATTTCGAGACGCGCGTGGGCATTATTTTGGTCAAATATTCGATTTTCAAAAAAAATGGAATTTCCAAAATAACATCCATGCACATTATTACGCGCCTATACGGTAGATGTTTTCCCATATTTGACGGATAATGAAGTTATAGCAAAATTTAAATTGGCAAATCATTAAAAGGAGTCGACGCAACTAAAGTTGAAGTTTCGGCAGTTGGTCTTTTTTTTATTAGGTTTTAGCCGGATTACTAAAATAGAAAGAGTATGCTCAAGAATTTAAATTCTATAAATGTCGTCATCAATTGTGATACTTGAGCATTATTATTTGATCAATTGATTGAGATGCTTGAGAACATACTAAATCAGCATGAATAAGTTAAGTAATTGCTATATGCTCTCAAACTGAATCAACACGAATAAAAAATAAATGAGATGAATAGTTTATTCCAATACTTTGTGTATTAATCGCAAGTATAATAGTAAATTAGTATCTATATAATGTTATCTATTTAAGATGTTCTTCAACAATTGTGAGCCTTGAAAATGTAAGAGACCAGGTGTACTATGCGGAGAACTACGGTACTGCTGCCCACTTCTACGATTAAATTAGAAGCGGTACCATCATTACTATACAGCTCGCACGTTTTTTCGTAGCAATTGTTACTATATTTTTATAATCCGCACAGCATCTAAAATGTTTGATGAAAATGTTAATAAACGTAACGAATACGATTACAATTAATACCGCTAAATCTCACAACCAACAAAATTGATGTCCGCCAAGTCATATGGGTACAGCCTCCTATAAAGTTAGAATGATTAAATAATACGAGATAACTTAACGTAAACCCAAGAACACATCCTCACCAGACTTATAGTCTCGCGTTAGATAGCGTCACGCGTGGCACCTTCAATGGTACGCTTCTTAGCTTCTTCATGCCACGGAACACCGTGTCTAGCACAAATCAGGATTGGTTAACTGTCTATTATAATTAGATGTTGTCTGAGTTCATTTTTTCAGTTAAATTAAATGAATTTACATACTCTCAAAATGTTCTTGTCCCGAACCACACTTTGGATTTTTGCTCCATTGATAATCCGTATATCTTCACGAAAACTAAGATGCTATATCTGGAAAAAAAAAATTATATATATATATATATAATATTTCTTATCAGTAACGAATCAGAATTAAGCAATATTGATGTTTATATGTTAAAAATTTATCTTTCAAACAAATCTTTACTAGCAACACGTTTCATGTCCTCGTATTCCATCAACTGTCCTCAAGACATTCAATCTTAGTGAAGCCTTATATATTCAGTTGGCGATTAATATATTGGTTAATACAAGCGTGACATATTTTATGATTACATTTGGTGGTAAGGCTCATGAAATCGTGGGTAGGCACATTTTCGTAACAAAGGTTACATTTTGAAAACATTTTAATCAGGTAGAGTTCACATGGAAGTAAATAAAAAGATTAATGAGCTTTTTTAACTGTTAATAGCTGAATGTAATAAATAAAAGATCAGATGACAGAATTCGTATCTTCTCCAGCAGCATCACAAAATGCCACGATTACGTGATATTAACGAAGTTTTATGTGACTACTTGTATGAAAATTGCTCAAGAAAAACTTTTTACTGGAGCACAAAACATAGGTTCTTATTGGTCAAGTTTTTACCGATCATAATGATAGAGGCTAATATATAAATCTTTGCGTTGCAAAGACTAATATATAGTGAAAACTTGTAACAGTTTTTTTATGAAATTCGATTTCCGATAGCATGACTTACTTATCCTTAGTTGTTACAAAAAGAATTTGAGTTCTATATATTGTCTTCTTTCATCGTTGAGTGAATTAACAGAAGCACAGCCATTATGATCCTGTTTGTTATCTTACACCCTGGAGAAACAATCACTCTTGTAGTATTTAATGATAGTACTGTTGAGAGTGTTAAACAGAAAATTCAGGAGATTAAAATTATTATTTTACTTGAGAAAATGAGGATGGCACACATTTTGTTGGACCTCATTATAATTCATATTTAATAGTGACTAAAGAGTTACGCAATAACTTCCAGAACGATGGGATAATGCATTTATCTTCATTCATGACTATAATCGTACTCATAAAGTGTGGAAAAACAGTATCTTGAGATAACACTATTGAAGTATCAGGCAAAAAATAATCGCGAAGGTATAATCTTAGCTTGGAGTAATAAAAATGGCCTACATTAATAAGGATCCCCGTGAATGAACAAAGGCTTGTTTGCGCATCCGAAGAACTACTTAATGAAAAGAAGATGACATACTATAACTTCAGGATGAGAGTACCGGTACTATGAATTTGTGCTTTAGATTATACGGTGGATGTTGAAAGAATGAATGTAAGTTATGAATTGTATATAATAATTAGCTCACTATAATTAAAAACTCAAGCTTATTTCTCACAAGCAAATAGTGATGCCCCAATGATTGTCGTAACTAGTTACGACATAAACTTTAGCTAGTTACGACTTAAGCCGTAACATCATTAGGACGATTCTACTGCATCATTAATTGCAAACATCTTAAAGTGAAGATAATAACGCGACAATGACCATGATTGGTCAAAATGAAATAGAATAAAATAAAAAGACTTTTACTAAAACCCACCTATGGTGTTTTACACCTATGTATATATTATTTCAAAAACTATCTATCATTGCAAGTAAAAATGCGCCTCTAAAACCCCCTCCCAAACCCTAGCCCTAACCCTAAATAGAAAAATCTAAATAAATAACATAACATAACATAACATAATAACATAACATAATAATAAAACGTATGGTAGGTGCAAAACCGCGGTTTATAATAAATAAATAAGAATTTCTTCAAAAAAAAAATTTTATATAAAATCTTCAATTACAGTCAAACCTTTCAAGAATATTATATAAATTTATATACAAAATTAATGCTATTAATGCTGATACATTGATTACTATATAGCTAATTTATCCAATTAGTGTTACGTAGTCTGAAATTTTTGTTTCATCAAGAGTACGATGATGTGAGAAACTTTATAAACTCTATTTATGTAATGTGTACACTCAAACTTTTAATTATTGTATACCATTTATGCTTTGGCGATTATATTTTTTACTGTAAACAGTAAATGACGTACGTACGTACGTATTACTGTACGTACGCAAACTTGTAACAGGTAATACAGGCGCGGATCTGCGATTGGAAATAACGTGATGTTATTTCAACATACTTGGCCACACCATAATTTAACGCTAAACTTACGTGTCTTTCGTTCTCAATATTTCCGTTTAATTAATTTTTAGGCTTGAAAGTGGTTTAAACTGTCTGAAAATTTTCAAGGTTTAAATAAATTATTACTAGTTTTTGCCTATGACTGAATCTATTAGTTTTTATATATCAAGTTAGATCAATTGACTTTCTAGTATGATCAATTTACAACATGATAACTCAAGTCGTCGTGAACAAAGACTTGACTTATCAATAGTCCCAGGGAAAAACCTCGGTTGGTTTCGTTTGGGTATGTTAAAGCGATCAATTCAAATCTTAATAACTTGCCATCCTTTACTACGTACGTTAAAGTCACGAAATTTACTCTTATTTTCAATCTTTTCTTCAGGAACTTCGGTGTGGGATATTATAAATTTTTTGAGAGAACAGTCTAGAATCATTCCATCTGTAGATTTGAAATACACTGATGAGGTGTTAATTTTACATTGATTGGATATGATTTTCTGGTTTTCGAAAAGCTTGTATATTTACGTAAATTATTTTACACGATCATACAAGTCTCCTATCTTGACAGATTTATTTCTCTCATTGCCAGCAAATGGAATTAATATGCGATTTGATGGTCCAACCCAGAGATTAAAATCGATCGAAGTAAACGATTTCTCAAAATTGCGATTAACTTATCAGGATAGTGAAGTTAGGTATACCTCACACACATTTTGTTTATAAAATAATTATTAAAATATTCTGTATTTATTTATATGATCTATTTACTTTATCTAGTTCTAGTAAAGCTGCACCAACTTTTCTCTCAATTTATAAAATTTTTGGGTGAATATTAAATCTTTCATCTTTACCCAGTTCTGTTTATGATCAATGTTATTAATAAAATATATATTTTAGTCCTACCTACCCTGGAGAATTAGATAAGACAAAAAATGAATATACGTTAAATTATCCGGTTAGTTACAATATATAGATTAATTAAAAAATGTCACAATAATTTCATGAGATGAACTAGGAAAAAATTTTTATTTTAATTATCGTTAGGGTGTTTCATTTGTCTTTCCTATACCTAAAGAACATATATCTTTATTTATTTCATCTACTGGTAGGAATCTTAATCAATTTGTAAAAAAAAAAAAAAATTTTACGCAGAAATTTTAAAGCTATTTTCTATCAACTTTATAGACCTTCCTTTGGAACTACCTGATGGCACATCGCCTTTACTTTCTCGTCTACATACATACCATGGTGCCAATTTTCGCAACGTTACGGTTCCACCGTTGCTAAGGAATGCTAATCCTGAAAATATGGGATCTAATGGGGATCTTGGTGAAGTTGAAAGTGTTGTTGCAGAGGTATAGAATATTGAATGTTGTTGGTTATTTTATTATATAAATAATTGTGACTAATTATTCATTTATTTGATAAGCTAAAACGTGGTATTACCGTGAATTTTTTGGCTAGAAACAATTCCAGTCCAATCTCCGTTGAGATACTTTTGAATGTGACCACACCACAAGACCTTATTGTCGATATAGGTTCTCCTCTCCGGATATTCTACAAGGAAGAAGACAAAATGCGAATACATTCAGAAGATATTGGTGTCAATAGTACTGAGGATGGTGAAACTGCTTCTAACAACACATTGTCTAACGGTGTAGAAAACCATATTCAGGAAGGAGGTATGCTATCTTACAATAATTAGGGATGTTAACAGTCCTGTCTGGTTCAGTCTGGTCAATTTTGGTCCAAGTCTAGTTGGTTTATTATGGTCTTCTGTCTTAAGACTTTGCTAATCTAGACCGGTCCAGTCTTAAGACTTAGAGCAACCCAATTTTTTTTTTAGGTCTTAAGACTAACCGTGGTCTATTAGTCTAAGACCGGACCACATAACATCCCTAATAATAATGGAAAATTATCAACGTGATATCTAACGTAAACATATAACATAAACATTTATTATATACAAGATATGGGGCATCCAATAGACTATTTTTATAACTATTTTCATCTTGGATTTGATGTACTGTTTGATGGCGTTTCGCATCGTTGTAAGAAAATAATTTTGCATGGTAACGTGCCTGGTCATTATGATTTTCAAAGGTGGTTTATATATACTATACATATATACTACATAATTGTATATTTACTAGATAAAGATATTAATTTCATTACTATTTGTAGATATAAACGTTGTCCTTACAAAATACTATTGCAACAGAAAGTAACTTCGAATGATGATATCGATAATGAAGGTTTGTTTATAATGTACTTATTCTATGTATGTATATATATATGGATAATAGTCTGACTTATTTTATGTTTAGTTGCTAGACTAGAAGTTCTTGGTGAAGATGACGATATTGAATCAACATCAACTCAAGCTGGAAATAATTATGTTACATCGGAAATGAAGGTATACTCTATGTAATGTCTGTGAATCATTCAATGACGCATGTTCTGATTCAAACTTCTTTTGTCAGATCGATAAAATTAGTGAGCTCATAGGACCACCCTCTGGTCGGCCGTTAATTTTTAATCGAGGAGCTGGTGGTCAGAACCCATTTGGTCCGACTGAATTAAGTGGATATGATGGTGCTGTTTTCGAGGTTCGTATTAAGCGGAATTTTGTTTTATGATTCTATGCATTCCATTTGGTTAAATATTGTTTTATGGTTTTGTGCATTCCATTTGGTTAAATATTCTTATATGCTATATATGTACATAAGGTAATGAAAAATGGACACGTGGCTACTATCACTCTGTTCTAAGAATGATATCATTTTAAAAGTGTTATATGTTTGAATCAATTTGTTCTCTTGATGTATTATAATGGAGTTTTTTTAATATTTTTTGTAACGATAAGTTATTTAGTTATTAAATAGTTTGAACTAAAATATACATTTAGAAAAGAATAGTGATAGAGTTAAATATTATAACAAACAATCACGTTTAATGTAATGGAGTTTACTTAATAGGCCGCCTAATTATTGGAAAAATTTAATTTATTTAAGAAAATTGTGACAGAATTTTTTTATTTAGAGGTTATTCACATTAAATGATATTTTTAAATATTACGTTGAATGTAAAATTTCAAGAAAATAATGACTTTTGCGCATATTTAAAATCTGTGTAGATCGTGTAACATTTACGATTATATCACTAGAAATTATCACATTTTTTTATGCAAATCGCTCTTTTTTAAAATGTTTAATTAAAAATATCCTGACAACTACCTAATGAAATTTGATAATTTTTTTTTATTTAAATTTTATTGATATATAGAACTAAAATAAAAAAAAACCTCATCGAATTTTATTAG